TCTGATCGTCAGTACATAAATTCTATGACCCAGTGTTTGCAATTGAAAAAAATTGCGCTGTTTACTTCTCTGTGATAAGTCATGTTTAAAAAAATGACAATCAGTTTTGACGTTTTCTGATGTAAATCCGAATTTCATAATTCCCCGCAGAAACATCCAAGCAACGCAATTTTTTTTGGTTGCAAAGAGCAGACGTAAAACCTATACATTGGTATCTGCAGATTTATCCTAATTCTCCAAATTTTTGGCGAGCTTAAATAAAATAATTAAAGCCTAAATGGTCTTCTCTTCCCATTTATACTATCTCTTTAATGAATATAGTATAGTAAAAGCTAATCAAAGCAAATTTACAAAGAGGAAGAATTCTTTTTTCTAAAAAAGCAAAAAAGCAAATCCGGCGAGACAGCGAATTATTGTAAAATTTTCAAAAATTAAACGATAGAACATTCAGGGCAACTGCCTGCGCAGCTTCTATATAGGATACAGAAGCTGTGCAGGCAGAGCAATCTAATCCATACTTTTTGGTGCATTGTTGATAGATATGTCCTAATAAACTCAGGGCTGACGTAAATCGTTTCTACCTTATCCGATCCGCGACGGCGTAGTTCCTGCTTGAAAATTCTTTTCTACGCTCACCCGCACAGCTTGATGCTTCTCTCTCTGCCGATATTAACGCAATGAATTCGTGTTTCAATTTGTTTTGCTTAAAAATTTTGATTTGTTGCTTAGGACTTGTCTTGCACCGATTCAGATCGTGTTCTTAACTGCGAACTTCCTTTGATCCATTTAAAATTGACTTCCAGGTTGCGGCAGAAGCGGAGCACGCAAACATTTAATGATATTAAATTTGAAACCTTACAACATTGTTTTTCGAACTCTCTCGCTATCAAAATTTTTTGCGTAGAAGCTGCCATGTCTTCGCCTCTGCCTGAAACTGGAATGGTGATGGGGTAATTTACTTTTTCTTCCAATGTGATAAATCTATGAGAAGTGTTTCTTGGAAGTGGTGAGCCATTCATTGACTCCGACATAAGATCAGTGCCATTTTTTTTGTGAATGAATCTAGCTGATGCGCCAAGGTTTAGCTTTTGTGTAATCGTATAGATGGATGAAACTTGCCACTGGAAGCATTCACCAACTGTACAGTCGTTTACACTCAGTCGCAGATATAAGATCCGTCTCCTCCACTCTGTGCAGTCATGCTGCTCATTTTCATCCACCTTTCTTCATCCTATGTTTATACAATAAATAATCGCTCTTATGTAAGACACCGCTACACCGAACTACGGCCGCTTATCAGACAACCTCCTACCAGACGAGAATTTGAATTCAGAGTTCTCGTAATTCCAGTGCAAAGAAATGTCCTGAAACTGGTGCTATTTGCATGGTCCACTCTTCTTCCTGAAAGCAGAATTCACACTATGATGGTGATCTGATGCACAAAAATTCTCAAACTTGGTGAACTGGAGAGGAGAGAGGGGCGAGAATGAGTTGCGAATTTATTGAGAGTTACTTACATGGGCTATAAAAATGTGCAAGTGACTTGTTTGTAATTGTAAATCATGAAAATTACTTGAAGAAATTTTTTAGAGGCTCAACTTAGCATTATAGAAAGTTTATGCGGGAGCTTGGCTGCCATGCCCCCTTCTTTGAAGTTTCCGGGTCATGGGCCGCAAAACTTTTGGGGAGCATCCAAAAAAAACATTTCGGGGTGCGTGGCTGATACTGCGCTAATTCATTTGAAAAAATCTTCACCGCGCCCCGCTCCTCTCCCCCTTCCCCCGAATGGAAATTCTGGGACTGCCACTGCTGTGCACAAATGTCGATGTTAGATTCTTTCCGCGATAGCAAGGGCAACGTGATGGCAGCTGCCTCCGCTCGATGCTTTTGTAAGCTACAACTCTCGTTCATGCAACACGTTCTTTCATTTGCTTGACGCAGAACACTAGGACTATGCCGGCGTCCATGAACTCCCCTCGATACTTTGTCAATCGGTTTTCATCCAGGAAATATAGGAGGCATTTCTTGTAATGTTTTGGGATATGAACATCACTGCTCAGTTTTTCTTAAGCACATGACTTTATGCGGTCGTCGTTCAAAGTGTTTCATTCATAGTAACTGCTTGTTCTATTTGCTTTTGAGCCTCAGTATTTGGCTATGGTTTTCACTATGATGCTGTTCATCAAGTGTGAGTGAAGCGAAATTGTAGCGAGTCTGAGTTGATCTGGGGATCATAGCCCCTCCTGTAAAGGATCAGTTAGTGGATTCCATTGATTGATGGTCTATAGCAATGGCGGATCGAGGCGAGCCCCCCCCCCCTTCTCCCGAAAATGGGTCGCGAAATTCCTGAATGCGTACACGGATGATAGAAATGTGCACGCGACTTATTTATAATTGTAGATAATAACAGTTTTTCGATTTTTTCTATTCATATTAGCCTTGTAAGAAAATTTTGGGAAAAGGTGGCTACCCCTTCCCCCCTCTCTTAAAATTTCGAGTCCGGGCACGCGGAAATTTTGGAAAGCATCATTAAAAAATCTCCGAAGTGCGTGATGACGTATAGTAGTACTTGGAACCGAATATTCTCGAATATTCGTACTCGAATTATTTGTTCGAATTAGAATAGTCGAATATTCAGGAAAGTGCATCGATTTAATTATTCGGAATGAGTTTTTTTTTGATTCGTCGAACGAACAAATCTTTGAAAAAAAGGCCTTTTCCGTTTATTCGACTATTTGAGTAATCATATGGATGCACTTTTTTTGAATATTCGACTATTCTAGTTCGAATAAATTATTCGAGTACGAATATCGAAATTGTTCTGCTGTAACCATAGTGTCAGAGCTGTTTGGTTTTGAGAAATGATGCGCGCGGGTTGTAACGAAATCTTAAATATAAAGTTGAATGTCTGTATGTCTGCATCGTATCTCTTCCCTACTCTTCTCGAGACTAGTCTCAATACTAGTTTCAAACCTTCAAAACTCTTCAACTGACGAGAGCCAATTGGCTAGAAGTGATATGAGCATCCTACTTCCTACCGGAGACGTGAAAATGGGTAGCCAGTTCACAGTTCTGGCCAACAGAGGCTAGGTGAACTATTTTGATGATAATGTGCAATCTAACTCACTTCAAGCGTGGCCTAGCAAATATGTAAATGCAACGTTCTCTTTTCTAATAGTTGGGATCCTTTTTTGATTTTTGATTTGGTGATAAAAACAGGATGAGGGGTATAAGCCTTGTGAAACGTGCAATCGAGTAGATTCCGCTTAATATAGTGTGCTGTACTGAAGGTGAAATGCGAAAATTTGCGCGTGAACAAATAGCTGCGCCCGTGATGCCGGCCAGTTGCGCGCAAAAGGCTGGCATTACTGGCGTGGTTGCTTGTTCACGCGCAAATTCTACCGCATTTCACCTTCAGTGCAAGCACACTACATTAAGCGGAAAATCTACACGACTATAAATGCCTCGTGCCTTGAAAGCATACTCGAGCGGTCTTTGCGAGGCACTGTAGGCGATCTCAATAGCACTTGAATTTTCGGCCAACATCCATGTTGTTTTCAACTTTGCACATTTTTGGCCAAAAATGCCTTTAAAAATCCATTAAAATACGTCTAAATAGGATGTGCCCTCATTGTCCCCCGTGAATAGTTTATATCGCGTCGGACCCTAAGCCTCCAGCCTCTGCGCATTGGTATTCAGAGCGAGGGGGGGGGGGGAATAGGGGCACGAATTCCGCCAGTTTGGCCTTCGTTGGCAACAGGTCCTTTTTGCAAGAGGTTGCATGTCGTTGCAGGACCAGTAGTCCGCGGAGGCGGCTCAAACTGGCGGAGTTCGTTTGGGTTCCTTCATACTACGCCGCGTGCGCCGCTACGCCGCAGCACGCAGCGTACGCTGCTCACAGTGAAAATACGCCCATGGCGGCACAATCTCGCTATGAACACTCGGAAAACACAGGGAGTAGCGGATATAGAAATACAGTGATAGACAGAGTGCGCTGCGTGCTGCGGCGTACGCGGCGCACGCGGCGTACGCGGCTCACGCGGCATAGTATGAGGTTTAAGGCATATATACCTAGCGCGATTCCGGTCGCTGCGCGATTTGGCACAACAACGACTCTTCGTAATTCGTCGTTTATGCTCTGCCTTTGGTTAGAACTTGCTCTATTTGCAACAGCTTACACAAGCTACCCAAATGTGCGTCCGAGAAGTGCGCACGATAAATTTATGGAAATCTAGCAAATCGCCAAGTTGCGTGAAAGTGGCGATTCGGCCGAATCGCGTGAGGTATGTCTTAGGCCTGAAGGAACCCTTTCCCTACCCAGGCGCGGGCAATCGATTTTACAAGGCCTATATCTGTTTAATTTTCGTAGTCATCGAATGTCATCCAAGTCATGTCCTAATGTCACCTATCGCTATCTTATCTCTTTCAATGACCACTGTAGATCTTGCTGTCGGCATATGCGATCTAGACCATTGTTACCCGAGGAACGGTGTTGCATTCGGAGGGCAGCTGGCGTAGGGCGAGTGAGAGAGAAGGGTATTACACTACAGCTGTGGGGTCAGCTTGCGCATTCTGACCGTTAATGTTGCGATATGGCTGGTGATAGTTCCTTGGAGTCTGACTACGGAATGGTCTATCTTGTTTTGTATCGGTTCGCCTTATTGTTAATTGCTTCTCTTTTATCAGAACTCCGGACTGTTGTTAACGCTTCTTCTTCTTAAAAAAATAAAAGAATAAAATAACTAAAAGAAGCAAATAACTCTTTCAGTGCTCGATTCTATGTATCTGTTACATTGTGCTCTCATATTGGATATTCGTAAACTCTCACTTTTTTGTGTGGGAAAATTAGATGTAATCCTTGGATAACTAATTTATGTGGTCTTGTTTTTCAATATATAATCATATTTATCAGGACATGCTTTGTTCAAAAGTTCTCTTCGTTTGTATTTTCGTCGGTTTTATCGTCGAGCGCAATGTTTGTATCACAATCATTAGACCTCTTTTAGATTGCAAACAATGGATTTGCTAGATAATATTACGTCAATGATGAGCAATACAGAGGAGGACCGCTATAAAAATCGACCCAAAAAAGAAGTGAAAGTAGGTTTCTAGTTTCTCATGCAGTGACATCCTTTTGGCTGCAATCTCTGGAATCACCTTCATAATTCACACGAGTGCATGCATTGTGCACTATCTCACTACATGAAGCGTTCTACTTTGTTGCGATTGATATGCAGGAGTGAATATTAGACACAGTCCAATACATACTCGACTCACCGATTCAAAGATGTATCGGTTCTGGATGTAGAAAATGCAGCGGCTTTGCGCGATCATTAGGCGAGGGCCCGTTATTTTACATCACCAAGATCTCACCACCTTCATTCTAGGAGAGCGGTGCCTTTTGAGGTTGCCTACCGCAGCCATTGACAAGGATTCCCTCTATGCATAGTAAACAGATTTGAGCTAGTCTTACCAAATGCCAGTCCCTCTTTATTTGGAAATGCTTATGGTTAGAAATCGTTGTAGGTCATTTCGTATTACCTGACATCGTGCGAGGAGGGCATGTGGCGATTAGTCGAATCACTTGCTATCGCATTTGCGGAGGCTATGCACAAAAGCTACAGTCTTCTGATTTTTTTGGCTTATGAGAAGAATTTTTCCAGACCGAGCCCGAAGAAGGTGATGGATCTTCATTTGCTCAACCGTCTTCGTCTTTTCGTATACCAAAGAAAAAATCCGGTGACTCTCATGGAACGGATGTGAAAACAGAGTCTCCCCTCAGCAGTTCTAGTCGATCGTCGCACTATGATAGGGACGTAAAGTCGGAGCGTCCTCATAGTCGAACATCGAACTACGATAGATATGATGACCGTGATCGGGAACGGTCTTCATCGCATTCCTATAGGCGTAACTCGGACACTCGTCTTCCTTCGAACTATAAGAAATATTCTGGAGACCGACGCGGCTCTTACGATAGAAGGGGATCCGATGATCGCTATCGTTCACGAGATGTACCAATGGAAGTCGATAGCAAATATGGGATGAGAGAAGGCTAGTGTCCCCTTTTGTTCTGTGTGTTTGATAATTTATTGAACACTAAATGTAACAGTTCGTCTTCATTCTTCTCTTTGCAATGTGATTATATATTTAGAGTTCAAATCTGAGCCGAGAGGTTTTGGGAGGCCTATCAAACAGGATTACAAGCCATTCGATGCTGAAAGTGAGTTTGCCGTCTTACTCCTGTGCTAGAGTAAATATTCAGAATCACTTCCTTTCTTTTTGGATCAGTACATTATTATCTTTCCATTCTTAGCTGTGGGCGACTTTGTCATTCCACATAAAGTGGAAATCGAGATGAATGGGCTGCAGCTTGATCTGAGCTGTGCTCCGGAGTCTGTAGACCGTTACCATATCACGATAACGAAAATTCTGAAAAAGAAAGAAAAAGACGCTACGAAAGGCCCCAGAGAGGAGTTAGTCAAATTTTTTGCAAAAACTGCGGGGTAATCCTTCCTATTACAGTCTTCCAACCCAGCAGCGTCGTCGAGCCTTGTTCGCTGTCTTCAGGCAGTTGGTAAAGTCCAACCCGGACGTGTTCGGTGATGATCGCCACAAACACGTATATGATCTAGGAAATACCTTTTATTCTGTTGGATGCAATATCACAGAGGAACACGGTGTTTGTGAATTCAAAATCGCTGCTGTAAGTAGTTTTATCGCTTACAATCATTACTTCTTGTTTTCATTCAGGATGAAATCAGGAGCGACTTCAGCAGGACTTTCTTGTCCAAGGGTGGTCTCAAAGAATTGATTTTTACTGTACAGTGGACTGGACAGGTAGTCCGTAGTTCCGTTTCATTGCGGTGTAAACATATGCAGTGATTTGTCTCTACAGGTTTTCATCCGAGGTCCCAAATTAAATGAAAATGATGGTAGCCGCCGGGAGGCAGCTAGATTCTTTGATGTTTTAACGAGCCAGATTCTGTACCATGGGTAGGTGTAAGGGTAGTCTCGGAATGAATACATGTTACGGCTTATGGAGTCTTACATTACTTGCAGCGATCATCATATCTTTGGGAATAAGTTTTTCGAGAAACAGTGTGAAAAGGATGCGAACTTAGGAGAAGGCAAATGTGTGAAGAGTGGCTTCGAGAAAAATGTTCGGTGAGTTGGCAATCTAGCTCCATTTTCTTGTCCTCTCACTGTATAAAGCAGTTAGTCCCACTTTTACGATGGTTTTCGGGTGGTGTTAAAAGCAAATTTACGAAGAAATTCATTAGGGTTGTATGGGTTTCAGTCAATGAAAAGCGAATAAGGTTTTGATTACTCATTTGTTGCAGATTTCTGGGTGACAGCGATGATACTGCAGTACCAATTCTGCAAATTGACAGTGAGTTTGTTCATAATAGTTTTATCTAAGTTATTATTGGATAGCTGGTTGGTGTTTTTTTTTTGTTTCGAATTGCTGTTTTAGTTGTTGAGGTAATATTTGAGTACTGTCTAGGGGGTAGTTTCTTTTTTACTTAGCATCACATTCAGCAAAGAAATCGCCGTTTTACAACGAACAGTCTGTGCTGCAATTTATCCGTGAATTAACTGGACGTGATCCTGAAGAGGCCATGAGAGTGAAGAACCTTGTGAAAAAAATAGTAAAGGAACTCAGAGGTCCGATTTGTGTCATTTTTGGCAGTGGTCTTGAAATAGTATAAAATCTAGGTTTGGTCGTTACTACTACGCACACACATAGGACTCTGTATATTCATGGAATTATTGAGAAGAATGCATGCACGTAAGTTTCATTATATCAGTATTTTCGTCACTCTTTGGAGGTACTCTTATACAATAGATCTACAATCATGTTTTTTTGCTGAAATCTCCCATTTTTTTAACGTAATAATTTTAGACAAGTATTCGAGACTAACGAAGGAGAAATTTCCGTGGAACACTATTTTTATGAACAATATCGTCTCCAATTGAAATATCCGCAATTACCACTTGCTACGGAGCGCAAAGCCGGGGGTAGTTATAGCTTTTACCCGCTTGAAGTGCTTACAATCGAGCGTGGACAGCGGGTCGACAATGCAAGACTTGCGGGACCAATGGTGAGTTTGTTGTGCCCCGTAATGTTGTATGTACTCCTTTTCCATGTGATTCTTGCAGACTGATAGAATGATACAACAATGCCGTTTGCTTCCAAATCAAATGCGTGAACATAATAGAGACCAGCTCGACTTCGGCCGCGTAAATGACAGTGAAAATCCGTACCTCATTGCCTTCGGAGTAAGCATTTGATACAGCATAGCATATCGTTATCGCTGACACGGCTTCTGATGCCCTTTCCAGGTTCAAGCTAGCGAAAACTTCATCACCAGTGAGGCTAAAGTATTGAGTGCACCGGAAATCAAGTATAAAACTGAGTGAGTTCAGGATTTACCACTTATATGTCGTGAAGTGGATCGTCCCGCCTTTTCTAGTACTCTCCAACCGGATCGCAGCGGTCCTATGTTATTTTGGCGTCTGAGAAAAGCACAGTTTCTGCGGCCCGCAACCGTTGACACTGTTTCCATCATTGTATTTGACAAAGCAATGGATAATAGACAAGCTCTGTACGTGTTTTTGTTTAGTCTTAGAGAAACATCATCAGCTTGTTATTTTAGTGACTTTTTCCATTCACTGGCTAGAGCAGGCCGCGATCGTGGTATGGACATTCGAGACGACGTGAAGGTAACACAGCTTCCATCCGAGGTAGATGAAATGACCGAACGACATTTCAAGTAAATATTATGTCTTTACGATTTACATAAATCTAAATTCACATTCTAGTACGAAATTTAGTTCATGCGCTGGGAAAGTATCCATAATCATGTGTATAACGAAGATAAAGAAGGATGATGTGCATGGTGAGAGCTCTATTTTCATCCTAAAATGATTCGATTGTTACATGTCATCTTCAGATACCATCAAAAAGCTGGAAGCTAAATACAGAATCGTCACTCAACACGTAAGCAGGGACACCGCTTTGGCGTGCATAAGAGGAGGGAAGGTGTGTTACACGGTTTCGCAAGTTGAGAATTTTTGATTTTTGCTTGTAAAGATAACTTAAAGATGTATAAACATCGAATTTAGACGCTTGAGAACGTACTGTTGAAGTTCAATGCCAAAAACGGAGGGTTAAACCACACAGTAAGTGCACCAAGACAAGCGCTTAGCAATGCAGCATCACAACGAGATGTGTGAGTTATCTTGTACTTGTTGTTGAAAATTTTTTTTGATACAAATCCATTTTTTAGAAATAGTCGCTTGTTCCATAGAAAAATGTTTGTCGGTTTCGAATTATCTCATGCTGCTGCGCAGTCGCTTTATGATCGCCAGAATAACGCTGCAGTCAAAGAGCCCACTGTAGTTGGGGTGAATTTGCTTGTGAGAGATTGCTTACCTATGATTGAAGTGATATGTTTAGTTTTCGTACACACTGGGGGAGCCTTCAGATCTGTCGGGGTTTTGGTGGTATCAACAACCAAGGCTTCACACTGTTCAGTGAGTGATCTGCGTCCATTCTTTTTTAGAACCAGTGCTAGTAGGTAGTTGTGCACCTCATCATGACCAATCACCATTCCCCAGGTATATCGCCAAACACTTCTCTCGGGCATTCTTGGACTATCACAAGAACAACAAGCAGCAGCTTCCTTCGGAAGTTTACGTGTATAGATCTGGAACGAGTGAGGGTGAATACTCAGAGGTGAGTTTACCTCATTATAAAAGCCCTTTCGAGTAGCAGGCAGTCGATTGTTCCTTAACTTGATGCTTTTTTGAGGTTGTCGATGAGGCTAAGGAAATCCGCGCCGTTGCAGAAAAACTGAGAGATCTCAATGGTGGTAGACCGTACCGACCGAAAATCACAGTAATTGTAGCTCAAACGCATAGTAACTACAGGTAAATTTGAACTGACCGTTTTCCATTATAACACATTTCTTGAATGATATGATTCAGAATTATGCCCGCCAGACTACCCCCTGTTGGGGGAGGTCGTTGGAAGGCTCAGGATCTCAACGTTGCTTCTGGGACATGTGCGGATTCGGTTATAGTTCACCCACGATATCGAGAATTCATTATGACATCTCAGCAAGCTAATATTGTAAGCTATCATGACTGTTAACTTTAGTTTAGTTTCTTCTTTCTCATCTGAATGTTGAGAGTAATTACATAGCCCATAATTAACACAGTGATGCTGTAGGGTACCTCGAAACCGACCAAGTACACAATTGTCGTTGAAGATGAACCGCAAATGTCAATTGTAGATGCGGAGCACATCGCTCATTACCTCTGTCATGCTCATCAGGTAAGTCACAGGCTTTGCGACGGTGCAGTCACTGACTACAGCTACTACCGCTTCAAGTTGCTGTCGAATATCTCATTTGAAGAAGTTAGAGCTATAGATGTAGTTGCGATAGTTGAAGACCTTTAGCTAATGTGCTTATTTACAGCAATCTACGTTGCCAACGCATGTACCGGCTGTTTTATATGCTGCGGAGAACTTAGCAAAAAGAGGACGGGCTGCGTGGAAGTCAAAAATGTGAGCATGTTATTTTTACTCTCGCGAATCTGAAGACACCGTGCACTCAAATCCGAGTTTGATGAGATTTTGATGCACAATATCAGCGAGTGCTCTAACTAGCTGCCCAAGTTCGCTACAAAACGTGCACTCTAAAGTGAAAAGTAGCTCCGGAAGGCAGTGGCGGTCCCAGGACTTCCGTCCGGAGGGGGGGGGGGGGGACAAACATTTTTTCAAATGAAGTGCGTGGCTTCAGCCCTTGAGAGTTAAGTTCTGCAGTCCAGTTTCTGACTCAGTGAAAGATCCACAGTGATGGTCGTGGCTGTCCCAGCAGCATCCACCTTCTGGAGCGATTTTCTCGCTAGGGAATGCCCTTTTGCAGTCCTTAGACAGCCACTTAGTTAAGGGCATAACTACAGTTTCATCAGAATCTCATTAATCCCAGATTCGGTGGCGCTTTTAATCATGATCATTGTGATACAGTGGATAAACTTCCAGAAGTGAGAACTGGGATGGTGCCTCATCGATGTCGGGGAGCCGAATTTCGCTCAGAGAGGGAGAGAGTGCTGAAGACTTCTACAACAGGATCACCGAGGAGTTGATGAACTCGCTACCGCATCAATACTTTGCATAAATAGCACACAGTGTTTGTACTGTATAAATAGCACACAGTGTTTGTATAAAATTCTTCTCAAATCGGGTTTATATCGTTTATATGGCAAAGGTTTTTTTTTCAATTTCCGTGATGGTTTTAATCTCATAAGCATGTCTCTCACGTCAAAGGTGCTATTAGCTAGCTTTATATTGTAAATAGGATGTATTATAGGACGTGCTTTGCATATCAGGATTGAAAGCGCTGTGTTAGGCGTTCATTGATGCCTTCTTTTGTGACTTTCACTTTTCACTGTTTTATATGGATCACGTAGTTGTTTGTTTTATTGGCCATTTTTGTTGCCAGTTATTGCTGGATCAATGTTCACTGTCTTGCCTTTTTTTATAGATTACTAGCTATAAAGGTAGTCGTAGATATTTTTGGTGATTTTTGGTGTTCTTGGATGAAGGTTGACACAGCACAGTGTTTGAAGGCTGAAAGTTGCAGGCGAAACGAATTGTTTGTAGATTACACAATAGTCGTTTCGTGTAATCATACCGCTTGCGTCTGCAGTAGAGCAATGCTTGCGCAATGCGGTCACTGTTAACACATCCACGACAATACGACCCCCGGTGGGTCGCACATGTTCTGCCGTTTTGGACAATTCGACCCACTGGGGGTTCGTAGGATTCCTGAAGCTCTAGCTTCGCCATTATACAATGGAATTAGTTGGAGTTCTGGCACATGATTGAGAACACCTTGGCGAAGCTTCAGCCAGAGTTGTCCAGTTCCGGAAAGTGTAATGTAGTGTTATAGGTATACTGTAGATAGAGGTAACGCACAGACTTTAGCTCAAATTTTTCGCAGAGTGGTGGTGCTGTTTTTGCAAATTCAAGTTTACATGCACGAAAAATACAGGGAGGACACGAGACTGATGTCAGCCTATCAAAAATTATCGATTTTATTGATTTTTCGCATTGTTATCCCAGGATGCTCAAACCTTATATATAGGTTTTTTTAGCATGCTGACTACGAAAATGATAGTCTAAAGTTCTAATACCGCTTTCTTAATCAGTTACCGCTTTCTTAATCAGTTTCTTGCTTCTTACGGAAATCTACCGTGCTACTACCGTAGTCCCACTGTGGGAGAGTAGTGCACAAAGTGGACACTATAATCGTGATCAGCACGTGAAATAACCCCAAAACACAATTTTCCGTGAAAATCTCCATGATGTTGGGTCAGGACGACTCCGCAACCTTACCATATACCGCCAAAAACTGAAATAAACCATATTTTGGTAATCAGCGCCTTCGATAACCCTTGTGGGGAAATTCTCGGAGACATGTTTTGAATTTCTTCCAAAAAGACTACCATTTCGGACAATACGACCCACGAGTGGGTCGCAAGTTTGACAAAGCAAAAAAAGGCTCTGGTCCAAAACGGCAGTATTCGAAAAATTGGCCTTGTCGTGAATGTGTTAAGCGAGCCGCTGCGTCTCTTCGCTGTATTTTGGAATACCAAACTCATACCGCATGATGCTATCAGATACGCAAAACTGTGTAGAGTCCTTTAATCGCGAAATTTTGTGTGTTGTTGGTGTGTTCAGGCTGGTCGAAATTAGAGGAAAAGCAGGTGCGTTCTATTCGTAAAATTAGGGTAAGGCATATCGAGTAAACACTTGCACGATGTTTAATCCGCTGTGCGGAAAATAGCAAACATGTTCAATCCAAGGGAACAAAGAATTGTTGGGATCAACTAAGAAAATCTGAAGCAAATGTGATTCTCGATCGCGGTAGAACTGTAACTTTAGCTTGTCTCAAATTGAAGAAAAGATAAAAAAGAATAAAAATTGAGCTTGAGACATTCTCGCCGGAGCGAGTTCGAGAGATTTTGCTTCGTCGGCTTTTGCGATAGACCGCAGCTCGAAAGGAGCAGCATCACCGAAGTCATTGAGAGAGCGATACTGAGTGTGAAGGAAGGAATTTTTGCTGTCGTTGACAGAAGAGCGAGTAGATTTTCCGCTCAATATAGTGTGCTTGCACTGTAGGTGAAATACTGTGAATTTGGGCGTGAACAATTAACCATGTCATGTATGTCGGGTGAGGGAATGAACGCCAGTTTGGACCGCCTCCGCGAACTACTGGTCCTGCAACATTCAAGAGGCGCGATTTCTCCGGCTGTCACCAACTTAAAACTCCATAGTGCTATGCGGGTCTTCAAAAAGTACCATATAGAGTGATTAGCTTACTATACGCCTAAGGCCCCGGTCAGACTTCACGCGACTCAATCGTCGCGATCTAGCGCTAAGATTTCCATTCATTTTCATTTCACATTCAAAAATTTCGGGCTGGAAAAGTATCACAACCGAATGCAAGTTTATCGGCATGGAATGATGTTGTAACAGTTGTCTCGTCGCGATACAGTCGCGAAGATCAAATCGCGTGAAGTCTGCCCGGGGCCTAAGATTACCATTTGCTCAGTTTGGTGGCTTTTGCTGGAAAACGGAAGAAAATATTTACGAATTTGTTCTTAGCTGTATTGTATTTTTAAGCTTTTTGACCTTCAAAGTTGCTGTTGTGAGATCCAAGTATTAAGATTGAACAACCTACTGAACTATCTAGTATATCTCCTTTTAAATTTTGAGTACTTCTAAAAAGTTGTGAAGCACTTATTATGTGCTATCTGGTGTCCATCTGGCAATAAAAATCGCGCATCTTGACATACACCCCACTCACCGTAACCCACCAATATGCGGTATTCTGAGAAATCCATATGATATTCATGTTTTGCGGGCTATGTAACCCCCCCCCCCTAGGCGAGTTTAGAGCAAATTTGTGTTTTTGATCCCATACCATGTACCATGTACCCACCGTAACTCTATAAAAAGGCTCAACGCAGAAAGATTGTGGTATTCGTAATCAGCATGTCAGTAAACCCCCCTAGGTCAGGTTTCAGCCAAGTCCGTGATTTTGATCCTCTACCGTATGCCCACCGTATCCCTCAGAATATGGCGTTACCGCGCAAAATTAGTATGGTATTTGGGATCAGCGGATCGAATAACCCCGCTGGACGTAGTTTGAGCCAAATCCACGGCAAAAAAATTTTGGGGCCCGGATAGCCAAATAGCGCCAAATAGCGCAACTTAGTCATAACTTTTCTCTTCTTGGATGTAGCGCTGTCATTTTTTTGACATAATGTAGATTAGGTAGTGAGCTACAAGAATGCGCAAACTGGTTTTTAGTGGCGAAGCAGGAAAATTTGCGCATTTTGCGAAAGCTGGTTAAATCAGAAATTTCACTGGATTAAACAAAAAATCGTTCTCAGCTTGCATCAAACGCATCGAGCCGAAACTGTATGTAGGTTGTCAGAGCTTATGTAGCAACCGTCTTTGTACAGTTTCCTCCTGTTACGTTCAATGCAGGCTCAAAACGGCTGCATTTTTGTTTTTGGCACACCGAGATTCCTGATTTGACCACGTTTCGGAAAATAAGCAAAATTTTGCCTCTTCACCACCAGGAACACAACGGTTTGCGCAGTTTCGTATCTCACTATCTGCTCTACATTATATCAGAAAATGAGAGCGCCACATCCAAGAACAGAAAAGTTATGGAAGAAGTTGCAAAACTTAAGTGCCAACCCAATAGCTGGCTACCTTACGCTTTAGCGAAATATTAGATTACCAGACCAAAGTGCCGCTTCGTGGCACTTTGGTCTGGCCGTTTGTGGAGTGAGATGTGCGTCAAAGTTGTTGCCATTTCTCAGCAGAGTGTTATATTCCACAGATATTCGCTGCTGGCTAGAACTTCAATAAGCGAACTTTTGGTAAGACCTACTATTTGTTGCTCACAGAATATAAATCAACCCCTTAGCAGGTGATGGTTCAGCTTATCGCAGTCTGGAGACATGTGTAGCTGCCGCAAGGAAGGACATGAAATTTGATTTTTTTAACTAGCTCTTCGAAGATGATGGAAAGCTCGTAGTGTTTGAAATGGCAGTATCTTCGCGCAGCTGGAATTTATTTGGGAGTATGCTTCCAAAGTATGAGTTTTATCCTTAGAAGAAAATAAAGAAGTCCTTTGCCTGATTGAACGTGAAGCTCCCCTCCCTTTCGGCTCCCCCATCACCCATTCGCTACCCTCAAAAGCTCATTCCAACTAAACTTCTTCTTCTTTTGGAAAGGCTTCACTAAAGTGTCCAGAATTTTCGTATGCACTTATTCCATTTTCAACCATGCGTAGTCATCCCACCTTAGACGTTTTAGATCGAAGTATCGATAAGGCCAGAGTGAAGTCTTGACTCTCCAACTTCTTCCTTAGCTATTCCACTACTTTATTTTCTCCAGTGGTCTTCAAACACAGAAAAGCGTCAAGCTTTTGTCAGTGAAGCTCACAGATTTGTAATAACTAGATTTTGACAGCTCAAATCCGCAGAAGAAGAAAATAGCTTTGGCAAAGTGACTTACTCCCCTCCCCTCACACTTTTACTTCCCTACTCTATTCAGAGTGGCCGTAACGAAAACCGTTGGGGATTTCCTGGCCATTTTGAATGCTTCCCCATCTGGAACCCCTAACTCGTGATTTCTACCATTTCTATAGCAGGCCCGATTTCCCCTTCAGGCGTAAAAAAAACCAATTTTTCAAGCTAAAGTATTCTCCATATTTCTCTGAATCTCAACTTTCCTTTCCCGCTTTCTTTGACATGTTTTTTCAAACTTCCCGCCCATTTTAATATGTCTTTTTCGAAAATGTAGCGTAGCGGCTGAATTTGCTTGAAGTTCTTGGCATTTGAGTTGCAACGATTTAAATCCCTTCTTCTCCAGGGTGCTTTAATGACAACCTAGTGAATTGTAGAGGTGCTCCCTGCAGACTCACACCCATTTGTCATAAGGCGTTGTTCTAATCGATGATGCTACCGTTGGCTGAGGGCATGTTAAAGAGAGATGCTCAGTCATCCTGCGCTTTATTATAGAGAGATAACAGGATTAATGCAGATTTTCCAAATTTTGAGTTTGGATTACTACAACTTTTTACAAAAATAGTCAACCCGTTTCCAATAAAAACTACTGCAAGCAGCAAATATTTGGCAATTTAGCACGAACCACTATGTCGTGGCTTCACTGAGAGAAACTTCATAGCCCGAAGACTGCCAAAAGTTTTCGTGGAGAACCTTCAGTTTGAGAAACCATAACTTCACAATATAGTAGGGCGATACAAACTCATTGTGTAGACAATAGTCGGTTGTGCAGCAGCGCTAACTTTTATTACGAGGTAGGCGTGCCCGACCTGGGGGGGGGTCGTACTGAGAGTAAGGGCCGAGGCACTAACATTCCCACTGGGGAGGGGATTGCAGCTTGAAAGAAAGCTTCATATGCTGAAGCACCAGATCTCTGGATTTCACGCTGCCTATCTATCAGTAAGTATTCCCATCATCCTCCACTATGAACAATTTGAACAGAAGCGACAAGCTATACAAGCCGCATTT